CTATCTATCTATCTATCTATCTATCTATCTATCTATCTATCTATCTAGATGCTCTGATGACTCTTGTGAGTTTGTTCCACCAGCGAGGATCCGCAGTGAGAAGAAGGGAGTCCAGATACGATCCAGAACTCGGGAGCTCTCACCCACATCTATCTATAGATATATATACATACTGTATATAAATATATAATTTATTCAGTCAAAAATATTGAATTACAGACGTTTGAGATGTATTTCTCTGTGCCAAATTCGTAAGCCATTGTTTGATTGGTATGCTGTTTTTAGACGTTTTGTGGTCGCTGGCTAAAACTGTCAAGGCAGAGGGGATTACAAGCAGGTCTTCTCGGTTTTCACTGATCCAGCACTTTGCTCCGCTTTGCATCCGCCGAACGTCCTCCGCTTACACAGGGCCCATCGACCGCTTCTGTCAGGTAGCTTATATATCCTGCCAATGTCAAAAACACAAGGGAAAGTCACAGTTACAGTAGGGGGCCATGGAGGGGACTCATAATTTTTTTACTGTACAACCTTTGTGTACAACCTTTGGATCAAACACAAGTTGTTTGAATCCTGGCACATTTGACCTTTTGGTGATAGTCGGGGTAAACAAACCTAATTTAGCATCAACAAATGTACAGATGCCCCTCAGGGACGTTCATTGTTTGAGAGTGCTGTTCAAAACATGTACATTTAATCTATTTTTGCACATATAATAAACTGGAAAAAAAAATACTTCTGAACATCTCTCAACAAGACCAAATATATTTCTGCTGACAAAAGATAAAGATCTGAAAAAAGATAAATGGTTTCAGCAGTTCAATTCTTGGGGAATAAGAATGTTGTGTTGTAAGCAGGCCTTAAGAAATGGCCTACGTTATGTACGCTTGTATTGGTCTTAAATTTTTTATTCGCAGTGAGTATATATTCTCATGAACAGTTAAACTCTGTGTCGACAGAATTCTAAAGGCCAAGTCTGCATTCTGAACACAAAGCTATATTTTTATAAGGGTAATGACAGTGAGACTGTCTTTCACCCACCAAAGCCCTATCAGTCATATGCAAACATACAGCATGACGATACTCCTTTCTCTATTCCTATGTTTCCTAAGCATTTTACACTACATGTGGGGCCTTCATTAGAGCAATGGTTGAGTGGAATGTCTGCTTGCGCCCACTGCTGGACCAACCAGCTGAGACTGGTATGTCTCCATACCTTTCTCTGCCACAAGAGGAGCTCAAACGAGCAGTTTGTGGAACAATGTGTTCTGTTGTCAGCTTCCTGTTCTTCAAGGTCTAAACAACAATATGTTTGCTTTTCCGTTTCAAAAGAAAATAAGTCGTTTTTATTTGAGTTTCATATGTAGT